AAGTTTAGTGAGCTTTTGGTTAGGACGCAGGCAAATTCGTCAGCACTGCAGCTACAGCCTCAGCCAAGTAGTTTCGAAAGGTTTCCAATGCGAACCAGCGGTGCCCTCGGGAGATTGCTGAAATAGTCGGACGTGGAGCAGAGGAAGGGGGATAGAAGGCTGGATTTGGAGTCTTTCAACACTTCTGAACCAACCCACAACTTCTCAGTAACACTCTCCTCTCAATCTGCGGATTTACGCGACGCAGGAGCATCATCGCCTCACTCTCGCTTCCAATATCCTGACAGACTGTTCCATGGCTTTTCAGCACCCGCAGTACATGGCTGCGAAACAGCATCACTGAGCAGGGTCAGGCAGGAACCTGTGCTGACACTTACCAAAATGTCGCTGTCGATAGGCATTTACATATACGTGTTAGTAATGCAGGTATTATGAGTTAACTCTAGCAAACTGCCATAAACAACGGCATGAATGGGAATTACCGGTTGAGAGGAACTGCTTCGCCGTGTCGCGATTCGAAGCCGACCTCTTGTCAATGTCTCACCGCTTCCGAAAAGTACACTTGGTAAAGAACAAATGTTGAATTTAATGAGCTAAGCCACTGAGTCATCATGCGTAATCATAATCATAATCATCATGACTCACTGCATGCAGCGGCAACTTATCTTTCCAGCAAAATCGAGCTGATCAGAGCTTTGTCAAAATACTGCTTGTCTTAGTGCTCGTCGCAGAGGGGAAAGAATTCCATGTACGCTTCGAATCTCGTGGCAAACATGAGGACCGGAAACCGGAAACTCTCCCAATGTTAAGGGGGAACCGCATACGCCAAGGCTTGTTTAAAGAAAGCAGTTACCTCTCGATGAACAATCAACTGAAGATGAATCATGTTTAGGCCGTAGCTTTTTTGGAGATCCAAGACACCTTGTCGTTCCTACTCCAGTACTTCACCATTACAGGAGTAGCCGGCTTCAGTGCACTGCCGGATTGCAATTTTCCACATATATCGATCGCGTGCAATCTCTGCGACCAAGCCTCTCATATACCGTGCTCGTGTAACGCGACCCAGAGGGGCCTTCGACGTCAGCTTTCAGAGTGTACTACGAGGTCTTAACACAGAGTTTGCACTCTTCCGGTGCGATCGAGTAACGAGGTTGACGTTCACCCTGGTGCTCCTCGCAGCATGTGCTCTAACCGATGCAGTGGCCACTGAAAAGTGAGGACAGTACACAGCTGGACGACATCGTAACGAGCACGGATTGCTGCGTTGAATACGTGGTCGATAAATGGTGTCCATTCTGCAGACGAATCGCACACACCAGTGGTAGAAGAGTTGTGGTTTGCTCACATCTTCGATTCTTAGAGCCCACCTGTCACGTTCATAAGGAGGACGCAGCGGACTGCTGTCTGCAGAACTCGACACTTTGTCTATACACTGATCTTCCGTCCTTTTCCCAGAAGCTTACAGATACGAAGGAAAGTCCTCTGACTCCGGCTACCAGAGTCGTAGTCTAATCTTTAGACTGTTCAAGTGGGAGGGACGGAGGAGTAAAACATTTTCGTGGTCTTTACCTTTCCGACTTTTCGAAAGGTAGGAGAATGGGTACTTTAAACAAAAAAGAAACACCGATTTTATCGGTTTACTAACATGCTGCCAGTTTTCGATGCCGCAGTTGTGAAAAATACAATGTTTCTCTAAATGCCGGATTTACACAGCTGCAGACACCGTAGGCAGGCCACAGCTCCATGATATTTCAGCATCTACCGTTTATGAACGCAAACCCCGGCCTGACGCAATTCTGCTCAGATACCTACCGATATGCTACTTTCCGTAGGCGTATTAATACATAAAATAAATACAGATATTATCGGTTTATTGGTATGCGCTAGTTTTCGGTCCGGCCGTTAAGAAAAGTAACGGTTATCCTTCACTACCCAATGATGAGCGAACTCCCACGATCTTCCCAAAAATCTGCTCAAATGTGCTGCCGGCTGACTTGAAGCCACGTCACTCCTTTTGTATCTTAGAGTCAGTCATTCTGCGCACCTCTGTTCTAACGAATTTGCGTAGACCTTTCCCGAGATGCTCAGTGAGGTAATGTCCTGATAACGGAAGCATTCCCTATGGTTTCCCTTCTTGAGCAGAGGTGCAACAACCCCCACTCTTCAGTCGTTCGGTGTCTTCATAGTAGTAATTGCATCATTATTGCATTGCAATTGCATATTAGCCGCAGCATGCCTTATTCGCCTAAACCTTTAAGCACATCAGGGCGAATTTCATCGGTTGAATAATATCCGCTGCCTGTTGATCTTCAAGCGTTAAGAACATAGTAGAATGCTTGAAGGTTCTGACGCAACGAAGGAAAACCTTAAGAGAAAATGCCACCAACACAAGGTGGACGATCTCTTCCCACAGACTTCACCATAGGAACCGTTACATCGAAACTCGAAGTCCGTAGAGTCGAACATTTCCAGAAAAGTGTAGACTCCTGTCCATTACTCAGGAGCCGATAACATAGGTGTCTGAGGTAAATTATAGTCTTTTGAAACGGAAATCGAGTTGTTGAGGGAAATGAATTCGAAATTCGAAACGGCATGATATTGTGTATCGAATTTATTATTATTATACTCTCCAGCGCTTGGGATCATGCTCGATCGGTCTTCCGTAGAAGACGTCATACATAACAGGGAATGCCAACAGTACAAATCAATAATATCAGGGAATAACTTAAATAATGATGGGGCATTAGGCTCGAAGATGGAACATAGTTCTAGGCCGATGTCTTCATTCATGAATTGGTTCCATTAAATCATTAGGGCTTCCTTCATCTTTCAGGCATCGTTTCCCCTTCCCCTTTATACATTTATCCATTCTGTCGTAGAGCGGCGTTGCTCCATCGTGTCCAGCAATAAAGTTGCTCTTCCTCCTCCCTCCTATGTCACTGCCGGTTTACATACGTAATTGAGACCGCAGTCACAAGGTAAGATGCAGATCCAGCATTTTGGCTGAGATTTTGGCCCGATCGTTTTGACAAGCATCAGCTGGCTCTGAGAGGCTTATTTTGGATCTGAATGGCAGTCGTATTCGACGCTCGTGCACAATCCCCTGCAGCGTCTGACTTAGGCTGGAATTGAATTTCTGTTGTTCATTTTTG